ACAAATGAAGCTAAATTGACTTAAAAAAAAAGGTTAGAAAAAGTTGGATGCATTCTTGGTTCAGAACATTATACCGTTCAACACCCGAAAAAATAATATACACAAAAATTAATTTTTATTTTTTATTCCATAAAAATTAGTAAAAATCACAATAGTGCTGCGCTGGGTTTTGTGACTTTGTTATAATAGGAGGATTAATTTCAATGATCGGTAAGGCGTTTCAATGCGAACAGCTGTTTCCACAGGGCAGTCGACACTATCGGGATTGGACTGAACAACAACCTCTTGGACAATAATTGAAAATAACCGGAGACGTATGAAATGGTAAAGAGTTTCAAGTAAATCGCAATTTAATGTAAATATTATATTTATTGGTTAAAGTTAATTCAATTGTTTACTGAGGTACTAAAACTTAATGAGGGGAGTTAAATAAGAGTATTTTGAAGGACGAAGAACAGAGAAAGTTAATAACAGTAAGTTTGTAAGATTGAGGCTAATTATGACTACAAAAAAAGTTGACGAAATCGTAGTCTTAAGATTTGCCGTGTAACTAATATTGGTTAACACTGGATACAAGTTTTGACTTACGACAAAGTATAAGCTAAATTATCTTGTATCAACACTAAGTACAACGATGTGAAGCACAATGTACTTTTAGTGTTCCTTTTCGATACTTCATATGTAACTGTGGACCATAATTTTTAAAACGCGTTTTTGGTCGAAAATGGAGGCACACTTAACTTAGAAAATGCATTATCTTTCAGTTTCGGAACAATGTTCCAACGCGAAATTGTATTTAAATTAAAATTGAAACAGATATACTAAAAAAAGTATAAACAAGTAAGAGCAGCACTGTCTTCGGCTGTGCCGAAGGCTTCATACCTTTCATGAACGTCTGAAAATTTTAATTTAACAGATCGCAAAAACTGGTAACTGAACAATCAGTGGTACAAGAGATAAAGCTTATACAGCATAGATTTTGACGATTTTCTCAGTAGACTTTGTATTATTATTTATAAAATAGCTTACGAAATTTATCGGTTTTAGCTTTCCAAATAAAGGAGTTTTACAGTAAAACCCCATATCTGAACAATAATTTGTATGGTGGCAATAAATAGGTTATAGTGACCCGAACTTTGTTAATTTTACTGTAAACTTTCTGTTGATAATGAGTGGAAATAGTGCAAAATTTCTTGTTTCTAGCAGCATATATGGAGAAGTTATAACAAAGAGTCTCATATCTGAACAATCAGTTGTATGGGAGCTATATTTATGTAATTTTTATGAAATAATTGGTTATTTTCACTGTAACTATTCTGTTCTTAATGGATGGAAGTATGGCAAAATTTAATTTTCCTAGCTGCATCAATGGAGGAGTTATAACGAAATTTCTCATAACTGAACAATCAGTTGTATCGGAGATATATGTTATAGTGACCCGATCTTTGTTATTTTCACTGTAGGTATTTCGTTAATAATGAGTGAAAACGATGCGAATTTTCATGTTCATAGCTGCTTAAATGAAGAACCGGATCACCCGAAGTGACCCGATCTTCGCCATTTTCACTGAAAATATTCTTTTGATAATGAGTGATAACCGTGCAAATTTTCATGTTCCTAGCTACTTAAATGGAGGAGTTATAACGAAAAATCGTATATCTGAACAATCAGTTGTATGGGAGCTATAGGTTCTAGTGACCTGATCTTTTTATTTTTCACTCTAAGCATAAATAGAGGAGTTATTACGAAAAATCGCATATCTGAACAATCAGTTGTATGGGAGCTATATGTTATAGTGGTCCGATTCTTCCGGTTCCGACAAATGATTACATATTATAAAAATACACCCACCTACCAAATTTGATCCGGATATCTCGAAAACTGAGAGAATAGATTGCATACAAACAGACGGACAGACAGACGGACTGACGGACAGACGGACATAGCTAATTCGACTCAGCTCGCCGTTCTGATCATTTAATTATACACTTTAATGGGTCTATCTCTTCTTATTCTGGTACTTACAAACATCGGACCAAAGTTGTGATACCATTTCATGCTCATGAAAGGTATAAAAATAACCACTCGTGCTCATATACCCGTAGTTGCGTATGTAACGTATACGCCCCGTAGCTCCATTCGCAGTCATCTGAGGCACGGCGCACATTAGAGCGATACGATAGGCGATGCGATAAGCGATACGATATGCAGTGCCGTCGAGATGAAACTCGGGCCCCGGACTGAAAAATCACGGGCCCAATCATCAAAAACCTTTAACGAAGGAGCAATTATATTTAAAAAAAATTAATAAAAAGTTATGGTTCTGATGTTTCAGGCCCCTTAAAAAGCCCGTGCACAGGGTGATACACCCCTTTCCCTCCTCCCTCTCGACGGACCTGACGATATGAAAGCGACATCGACATGCTGAGTACGTGGAAATTGATAGGAAGCGATGAAAACTGTGCACACTTGCACGACAGCGTCACTGCGGCGACACATCGCTTGCGTATCGGCCGAGCGATACGGTTTGCTATCACACCGCATTTGGTATCGCGCGTCGTATATTTGTGGTCATCGGAGAGGATTCATTTTAGCCTCATTGGCCTATTAACTGAGTGTATGTCATATCAGCCTAGCTTTTGTGTTCTAGCTTTAAGCCATCTTTTTCATGTGATGCTGCGCGCTGGCTTCAGCTTCAAACACATTTGCCTTTCTTTCAATTTTACTCCCAACATATCATCTACAAAGTCCTTAATCCGCGAAGCTCTCAACTTATGCATTTTTTGCAGTTGAAAGTTCACTTTCTTCGCCTATTCTTGCTCTGTTATGTTTCGAAATGTCCTTTAAATTCTTAAAACTTAAACTACAATTTTAATAACTTCCTATACACACAAAGGTGCTACACGTACTTGGGTTTATTCAAGTTAATCAAAATAATAAACATATTTTTCATGGAGATTGATAAAAAACGGAATAAAAACCAAAGTACATAGCTAATCAACGAATTTCTAACCAAGTCGCCTGATATGGAATTGTTTATTACTGTTAAGGGATGAATAAACAAGCCACCAACAATACAACGGACCAATTTCAAAGGAGTTTGGCTTTGGAGCAACGCCAAATTGGAGGTATAATCGTGCATACATCCAACTTCCGTCACACAGTCGTTCAAAACTGGCATTTAGTGTTCACAATTCACCGGAGCCTTCATTTTTTACTTAATTTAATTTGCAAGAGACCACTTGAGCCTGATTTTTGAATTATTATTTGATTATATTAAATTTTTTAGGGCAAAGTGCGAAAAAAGTACCAATGTGGAAGAAAATCCATTTTCCTCTTCCAGTTAATAAATGTTTCACAATAAAAACTAGTTGAAAACAATTTTAGGGTTCTCTCAAAAGAAAAAAAAAAAATCACGACAAATATTTGAAATGTTATAAAAAATTTCAAAGTGCAGAAAAAGTACAACTTTCAAAAAAATCCATTCTCCTGTTCCTAGTTGAAAACAATTGCTGGGTTCCCCCAAAACGAAAATTTTTGTTTTTAATTGAAATGTAACAAGGTTTTCACTAAAATTAATTATTTTTTCTTCGGTTTTTAGAAAAATTCTCGGTATGCAGTTTATAGATCATTATATTTTAGTACAACAAAGTACAAGGTGCAAGTGCCTAATTCGGCTTTCCCACGGCACCCCAATTACGTAGTTCGCTCTCTCATTCGTAATTCGCACTCCAATTACCCTTCGAATTACCTCATTTGTTGTTAATTCAGATCCAATTACCATGCGAATTACTAACAAATCGGTGCCGTCTCTAATTTTTATCGGAAATTTATTGAATTCAAAAATTAAGCTTGCCGTGGGAAAATGGTATAAGACTTAGCGTTGATTTTTTATAATATAACAAACGCTTTAATTTATTGTACTTTATTAAAAATTATCTATAAAACTGCATACCCAAAACTTGTAGTAATACTCTTTACTTTAATTTAGGTGAAAATTTTGTTTATAAATTTCAAATTTTTCTTGTGAATTTTTTTTCCTTTTGGAGGAACCGTACAATTGTGTTCAACTAGGTTTTATTATTTAATACTTATTAACTGGAACAGGTGAATCAATTTTCTTCAAAATTTCTACAGTTTCTGCACTTTGCACTAACAAAAATATAATATAAACTAATAAAAATTCAAAAATATGACTCAACTGATCTCTTACTAGTTTTATCAGCTTTCATTCAAAAAAAAATAAAAATAACAGTTAACCAAATTGGTTGAAAAGTGAAGGCTCCAGTGAATTATGGACAGTAAATTCCAAGTTTGAAGCACTGTGTGTCGATACCTTTGACAAGATGTGAACGACGATGAAGCCCATGCACCAAAAAAAAACATGCCAAACAAATTTTACCTGCAGTGGAATTCTAATAATCGTTACGCTAAATTCCCAACGCCAAAATTCTCTAAATCAAAAACAGGGGGGCCTAAAATTACGTAACATTAAAAAGTAACAGATGCAATGTGTAATTAGCCAAAGCTGGCAGTATGATAGGCATGTATTTAACTAGATGTTGAATGTTGTTAGGCGCGCCTGTTGTTTTTTCGGAGATTTTTAGCGATCAAAATTGGCGGTAGCGAATGCTGGAATTCGGCTGCTGCTCCTTGTTACGCATTTTAAATTCAAAAAAATATCACTTCAAAAGTGTTTGTTTAAACTATTGGTTATTAATATCTAAACAGTCAAGCTAATTAAATTAGTCCGTGATGAATAATCTTCCGACGTTTATACCAAGAAGTATTTCGAAAGAAAATGCGTTTTTATATTAAGGTAAGGATATGTTAACATACATAAATAAAAATATCAGTTCCTAAATTAAAACACAATGTCACCAAAAAGAGCTTGTATCGACTTAAATGCTTTTGCCAAGACACACCACAATTTTGTTGGCAAAAGGTTCGCAAAAAAGTATCAAATTTCCTAATTCGATAAACCGGCAATCCTAAAATAGTTACTCACCTAAGAAATCGCACGGTGAGGCGGCAAATCCGGTCGCTGCTGCTGCGGCCAAATGTCCCAAATGCAAGCCGGGATGTTGCAGCATAGCAGGAACTCGTTGTGGTCGTATGGGACTTGTTGCCGCTGAGCTGGAGTTAGAACTGGGTGAGGCGGGAGAATCGGCCCGTTTTGTGCTGCCGATGCTAATATGATTGCTATTATTGTTGCTGTTGTTGTTGATGCTGTTTAAATTGTTGCTATTCACAGCTGACCTCGAGCCACCCAGAATACTGTCAATTGTAAAAAGTGAAGCTGCTGCCGCCGCAGCAGTTGCTGTAGCTGGCGCAGGTCGGGATGGACGCTCATCATCAATTATGGTAGCGCCCGATTGGGAGCCATCGTCGGAGGAAGGAGTTTGCGATTGCGGCTGTTGTTGTGAGTGCTGCTGTTGTTGCTGTTGTTGTAGATGGTGTTTCTGCTGTTGTTGCTGCAAAACGGATTGCAAACGTTGTCCCAAATAGCCGCACTGCTGCGAATTCAAAAGCATGGCGGTCGTCAAATACGCAGCGTTCGGTGTAGTCGCGGGTGGGGATCGCGAACTCTGGCGGCCGTGGTTTGCGTGTTGCAGGTTGGTTTGTTGTTGTTGCAGTTGATGTTGTAAATGTTGTTGTTGTTGTTGTTGCTGCTGCTGGTGGTGATGATGCTGAAGCTGGTGTTCACTAAGCGGGCTGCCCTCGCTAACCATGCCGACGGCATAACGTTTCACAGCAATGCCGCTGGGAGGAGTTGTAGTCTCCACCATATTGTTGTGCTTGTATAACAACGGTGAATTGCTGATGTTGTTGGAGGTGTTATGCGACAGCGATAATGGAGGTGGTGTTGGTGGCGGGGATGTTGGTGATGGGCTCGGCGTACTGACGACGGTTAATTTGAATTTTGGCTGTTTAGCGCCTTTGTATTCCAGTCCACCGACCAGCTGGGTGGGCGCGCCCCACAACGAGGACAGAATTTTGACGAATTTTATTTAAACTTAATCACGGGAAATTTTATTTTAATTAGTGAACTTTCAGTTTTTTATTACTCTTTTGTTTATTTTTCACTTAAAATTACATTAATCTTTTTTTTGACAAATTGTTTACTATTTAATAAAAAAATCTTTGGTCTAATCTTGTAATCAGGTAATCGCTAACACGCTTAGTTAATTTGCAATAATACACGCGACGCTTAATGCAGTAAATCGACACAGCTTACGCACTGATTGACCATTGTCCGACAGACTACACGCGCGTTCCAATTCGTTGCGCTTCCGAAAGCTAATTTTGTTTAATCCACAAAAATGTGCGTTAAATGTCACTGCCGACCAACCCTTCTGACTCGAAAAACGAAACTGTTTTGCCTATCCTTTATCGCCGATACAAACACTGGCATCACTCAGTCAGCTTGTGTTACTAATACATGTAAACAGCTACATAATCAGTCAGGCATTCGTATTTTAAACCTGTCATACAACTTCTAATTCCAGACGACATCTTTTTACTGCCACCCTCCATATAAAACCAGTTCGAACAATGCTCTGGCATTCAGCAAGACTTAACTGTAATGAAGCAAGCAGGCCTGCATTTAGGCAGGCAGGCAGACAACATACCTTGCAACCAATCAGACTACCCCGGCATTGACGTTGATTTTGCGCAAAGAGAGAAAATTCGTTAGGACACACCTATTCCTTAGCTACCATATTGGAAAATGAATCAGACTCTCCAAAGAGAGCCCTCACCAAGGAGCATGTAATAGGGGAGTCACTTCTCTTTCTCACACACAAATTTATAGAGTCATACCTAGTCATAAAATGGGTACAGTGGAACAGTGTTGTTATTTGGTCACTGCATTTTATATATTTCTTTAAACTGAACTATTGCTTTTAAAAAATTGCAAAACTTGAATTATAAGTTGTGGATTAAAAATTATGGTTTGGCCGGAACTATTCGTGTATTCGGATATCCTCCTTTCGGATACTAGTATATACGGATCAAATCCGGTAAAAATTTTTCTCAAAATGAGTGAATCTATTGAGTTCCAAAATTTATAACACTGGCCACTGGCGACTGTTGTTTTGGTGCAAAGGTGCTATAATTCTTTTTTATATTAGGACTTTAAAGCAAAATCACACTATTGCACAGCGGATCGACGATAGGGATGGAAAGGTCGACTTTAGTTAAAAATCGACTTTTTTCGTTCGGCTGCTTTAAGTAGAATGGAACCGACTCTCTCTCGATGCCTTTTCGACTTTTGTCTACTAAGTAACTGATGGTAACCGAATTACGTAATTTTAAAGTTTCTACATCCGATTGCGGTAGTGTAAACCTTCACTTCAATTATGTAATATTCAAAATATGGTAATACTGTATTTACATATATAAACGACATTCAGCAACAAGCGTTCAAGACAACGCACAATTTTATAACGCCTCCCAATTTAATATAAATTCATTGGTTTTCTGAATTATTAAATTTTTTGAATTATCAATAGTTATAATTTTAAGTTCAAGAGTTAATAAAGGCAGGTATTAATTTCGTGAGGTACTTAAGCGGGTTTTACTGTATACGTATATGACGATGCACGGTAATATTTCATAGCCATTTTGTCGCCATAATTAAAAAAAATAGTATACTGACATGAATTTCTGGTTTACAGGGTCTTTTGAGGTCGCTGAATTCGAGTCTGAAGTTAGAGTTTCTATATTTATTGGTGCCCCAAGCACTGGCATGTTATCGCATTATATAACTTTATAACTTGAATTCAACTACTTAACTGCTTAAAACTTGTAACAAATATGAAGCATTCTATGAATTTTTCACACATGTTTGTAGGTATATTTTTTAAAATACATAATATTTCTTTTAAAAGTTACATCACGTTATTAAGATATACATACAACAAGTTCGTTTTTGTAATTAGTTATAGCTACTTTATTGATTTTGACTGATCGACAGCAGTTAAAACGCTAATTTTTAGACAAAATTTCAAAAGTAACCTGATTCAATTCAACATTTCTCTCATGAAGGCTTAATTCAAGCTGATTATGCACCTTTTTGTGCGTTTTAATTTTAACTCGCAAAAAATTATTTTTTATGCCGACCATTGGAAATGAATGTATAAACAAAACATAAGCATTTCTGTCGCATAACGCGTTACTAAAGAAAATATTCTTAAGTTACAATAGTTTCCAAGAAATATTTCTTAAATTGGCAAGGATATTTATTATAACAGTAAAATAAGTAAAAAAATAAAAGAAATTTAAAAATCAAGAAGAAGTGGATGTTAAAGGGTACGTTAAAGGTAATCTTCGTCGAATCGACAAAGTGCTTTTTATTTCCCTTTTTTTTTAAAGAAAAATGTTGCATGCAAGATTGCCAAACTACTTTCAATAATGATGAGCCTTAACAAGAAAGATAATATAGAGGATACTTATTATTTAAGCTTTTTATTTAAATTTTAGAGCAATTCGCTCTTCAATCCAAAGGTGAGAAAAATAGAAAATGAGCAACAGTGTTTGTCAAATCGACGAAGATTACCGATTCAGGGTTAAATTGGATTAAAGAGTAAAAAATAAAAAAATAAGTTATGTTAATAAAAATGTACAGATTTCCGCATTTTGCCAGTTACGGATTACTGATGTTTGGACATTTTTTTATTGAGTTGAACTCATTCTCAATAAAAATTTCTAAACAACACCACTGATGATATGATGTTCAATATATACAAATCTGTACTAATCCACCGATCTTGTGATTTGGCCATTAAGCAGCGTTTGCATTGTTCAACCTTTCGTTCACCTTTTTATTGAATGCGAGAGTTGAACTTTTGATTCAATTAATCGCTTGTTAAAGTAAAAGAATGCAAACACGCTTTTATACTGATTACATAAATAAGGAAAATTTCGATTTCCTACCGTGTAGTTTTCTAGATTTGTTACTTTTACAATACAAAAAAAAACTAATTTGCAACTAAAACCACCACTACATATACGCTCGACGTGAGTTGATACAAGTGGTGTCCAATTTAAATATGGAACGTTTAAAACTTTCATATTATCAGAAATAAGGGCTTATTTTGCTCTTTACAATTAAAGGTCGAAAAGGTAAAAAAAGCAAATATCTTAGAGAAGGCTACATCAAATTTGTACATATGGAATCACGGAAAGCTAAATCGTGGACATTCTTAATCGGAAATTCTCGCTTTTATTTTAGCAATGCTCAGACCAGAAAATTTTCTCATTGTATAGAAACCATTGCCCATTTTTTTCTAGGTTCTTAACAAATTGATTTATGAGGCCCACCTTTATCTTGAAACTAAAACAGTATTTACCACACGGATGGAACAAAAAAGTGGAAATGGTACTTCATCTGAATATGATAAGTAGGTATGGGTAACACTGTGCTGCCCGGCGCAATTGCGTTAACACCGTAGCCGGAGTTGCCGCGCCAACACTAGTATATGGAAAGCGCCAGCGCATTAACACCAAGCAACACACGAGGCACGAGGCACACGCACAATTCGCCTCAACTCTTTGAAAATTTACACGTACTTTGTTTTTGCTTTTGAGTGTTGAAAACGCAGATCTAAAGCTTTTACTCAAGAATGATGAGAACATCGTGGCATTTACTACATTCCTAGTAATTAAATTCGGTTGGCGGTTTTGCTCGTGTCGCTCAAACAGTGGCAATGACCGACAGAGCAAACCTCTGTGGTGCTACTCGAGAGAAGCAAGGTTCGAGTCCCAGAGCAGGATTTTTTTTAATTGTAATTTTGTAAATTGTATTGTAATATTTATAATTGTGTTTTTTTAATATTATTATTTTTATTTTTTAATTGTTTATTTTTTATTCATTTTTTTTATTCTAATTTTTTATATTACAATTTAAAAAAATAAATAAAAAATAAAAATATTTTAAAAAAATTCCTGCTCTGGGACTCGGAACCTTGTATCTCTCGACTAACACTCCAGACCTTTGCTCTGTCGGCCATTGCCACTGTTTGAGCGCCACGAGCAAAATGACATTATGCATGTTTTATTCAACCATCACAAGCAAGTAGCTAAATCTTGGTCAAATAAAACGAAATTAGCTTATTTCCTATGTTAGCCTAATTTTGACAGTTGTTTGACTGCAAATAGTGTCAAAGTATGTTTTTGCCTCTTTCTGATTGGATGAAGGAGCAACTTTCTGATGCTGAATGGCAAAGCCTCTTGCTCAATATATATGCCAAGATAGCTTTTCATAAGCCAATATAATTATGTTGGGTAAGTCCTCCATACAAAATAAGCTAATAGCTTAAATTTCTGGACAAATAAAACACGGCTATTATGGAAATTTTAGCGACTTTCAAGTTCAAAATGTTCGCTTTGGAAATATTTTATCTAGACAAGAACAGCTTTTTCATTTAAATTCACAACAAATAGTAAACAAATACCACTGTCATTCACAATAGTACATCTATCGGCGTGTGGAAACCATAATACGACATCTCATTTTATACGATACGCTGGCAAGCGTTTATCGTCTATCGTATGAAAATTCATAATAGGGGGGGAAAGTCTTCCTTCAGGAATACAGTGCTTTCAAATACGATACGCGTTCGATTAATTTAGCTAGTCGTCTTGACTTACTGATAGATGTATTTTTATTTTGTAAACAGCATCACTGTTTGCAGCCAAATCTGCTTAAAATACGACATATATGTACATACATACATATATCCATATGTAGATGCATACATACATACATATGTGGAAATTGTTGGGGTTGTTTCTATAGGGCACGCCCCTTTCGCAGATATGTAGTATGTAGGCGGATGTGCATGCATGGTAATGTTATTCTCCAAATTATGCCTTGTGAGCACAAATGCAAAATACATTAAGAGCGAAATGTTCTACCGTGAGTATTTAATTTGAAGATTCCACAATGATATCTGTGAGATAATTTTACTTCCGAGCGACATAATCAACCACACCACCTTCGTGGGAATATTAACTTGTGTGATGGGCGTTACAATACGCTTGATACGAACAGCAACATGCACTCTACATACTTATATCCACTGTATCCATATTATTTATGTATCTAAGTATCTGCATAAACACAAATGGCACTAATGCGTTGATATGAATCAGAACTTTGCGCCACTAAAATTTCTTTGCACCGTTTACCAAGCAACACACATACATAAATACTAGAGTTTGTACTTCTCCGAAATATGTATGTTTTTTAGTTTGTATTTGCGTATTTTATAATTAAATGGGTGACGGGACCCGCAATTTTTTAGCAAACTGTAGATAAATTTTAATAATGTCAATGCCAATGTAAAGGCGTGGAAACAATTATACACCCACATATATACATACGAATTTTCGTAGATAAATGTGCAAAAACATTGTCTACAAAATTTGGCCTATACTGATAACGTACACCTTTACATTTTGAATAGTAAATTTGTTTGCCAATTGAATGAGTTGGAATACCATTGTGCTTTGCTTTGTTTTTGTTGTTGTCTTGAATGCAGGGACCTACAGTTTTATGCCGCTGCCGAACGGGAAATGATTTTTATGAAAAGCTTTGCCAAGGCACTATTAAAAGAAAAACTAATATTTTGGCAGTTTTTCGGTACAGTGATCGAACCCTGGACCTCCTTTGGACTTGCAACTTCTGCCGGACCTGTGGAGGGCAATTCGGGATGAATGCAAAATTGCTGCGGAGAACTTGGAAGATACGGAGACAATGTTACGACCAGTTTTAGAGATTAAACGCAGACACGCGCTACACACACAGAAAAAAGCCAGCCAAATATATAGCGGCGTAACTTTACCATCTGAGGCCCGTGGCAAATTCTTTGGATGGGGCCCTCCTAGTAAAAATCGTCACTTTGTAATTTAATTTTAATGAAACTCTTAAGTAGTTACGCAACACTATTAACAATAATATGTGCATTCTAGTTAAATATCTAATAAATTTTATTTTCAAGAGCATGGGTTTATACATATTTATAATGAAATAACAATTTAATTTTGATAAGATATTTATTAATAAAATAATTTCCTCGAGCTTTCTGTTCCGCAAAAGAATCTATAACACCATCAAAGTTTAAAGATATAGCCATAGAATTTTCAATAGACAGAATACCCAAGTTACGTAGCCTGTCTTACAAGTACAAGTTTGTACATGGTACAAGTTTCTCAAATAGTTGCGAAAATTATCGTTAAGCACTAGCTGCAGGCACAGAAATTGGAACAAATAAAATTAATGCAGTACATAACATATGCAGAATAAAATACGAACTGATGAAGTAAAAAAACAGCTATACTTTTGGACGCAACAAATATTATTTTATTTTATTTTTTTTTTATTGTCGAAATTTCAAAGAAATTTTTTTATAGAAATGAAAAATATTTCCCTAATCCGTTGTACAAAACTGAAATGAATGTGGTGCAAGCAAATTTTGGGTAAGCGCTCATAGCTGCCTTTAATTTTCGTTTTCAACGTTTAAAAGATCACTATATCCCAGGCTCTTGCATAGTCTCGAAGTTTTTTTTTTACTTACTTTGTACTTTATTGTCATTATAAACTATAATTTTGCAGAGAGATCAAGCAATTTATGAAACATGTTTTTTCGCACTCGTGGGTTTTCCTTCTACGGTTTTCTTATTCTTTAAAGCCGAGATTTCCTTTGTAAATTAAGCTTTTTTTAAGTCTCATAGAGAAAAAATTAAAAAGCACGTTACTTTTCGTGACATTGAGTTTCGATAAACAACATTTACAAGCAAATTTTCAGAGTTCGTTGGTTTTCAAGGAAATTATTTCAGCATTATAATATAAAACGAGAAAATTTTTAGTAGAACGATTGCTAAGATTGCGCAGTAGGGTTTGGTATACTTAGGGCCGGTTACTCAATATCTGGTTAACACTAACATCTTCGCCATTTTCACTGTAAGTATTCTTTTCATAATGAGTGAAAACAGTGCAAAATTTCATGTTCCTAGCTACTTAAATGGAGGAGTTATAACAAAAAATCTTATATCTTATTATTAATTTTCACTGTAAGTATTCTGTTGATAATGGGCGGAAGTATTGCAAAATTTCATGTTCCTAACTGCTTAACTGGAGGAGTTATAGCGAAAAATCTCATATCTGAGCAATCAGTTGTATGGGAGCTATATGTTATAGTGGTCCGATTATTCCAGTTCCGACAAATGATTAGTGCATTATAAAAATACACCCACCTACCAAATTTTATCCGGATATCTCGAAAACTGAGAGACTAGATTGCATACAAGCAGACGGACAGACGGACATGGCTAAATCGACGAAGCTCGACGTTCTGATCATTTAAGTATACATTTCAATGGGTCTATCTCTTCTAATTGTGGTACTTACAAACATCGGGCCAAAGCTGTAATACCATTTCATGCTCATGAAAGGTATAAAAATAGGGGTATACTTTTTCGATATAGAACAATCCTAGGGGGTGAGAGCATTACCATTCCGACTTTACTGTTTTTGGACCATCCTAGTGTACATTTGCATGCCTTGTAAAACTGTTTTTTAAGTCAAATCTGTGCACATTCGGTTTACACATTAAAAAACTAAGAATAACTGCTATTTTTGATCGAAAAAAATAAAATCGTAGTATAACGATTAAAGATGATCGAAAAAATAAAAATCACAAAATAACGATTAAAAATGATCGAAAAAGTAAAAATCATTATATAACGATTAAAGATGATCGAAAAAATAAAAATCACAAAATAACGATTAAAAATGATCGAAAAAATAAAAATCATAGTATAACGATTAAAAATGATCGAAAAAATAAAAATCATAAAATAACGATTAAAAATTATCGAAAAAATACTAATCCCAACATAAAGATTAAATTTTGATCCTTGTTATAAAAATCATAACGGTTACGGTCCCTGCAACTATTAAAAGCTGGGTTTAGTATTGAAATTTGTATGTATTTACAAACACAAATTAATTGATATATTGCATTGATTACGTCCATTTTGTTATATCTCAATTTTGCAGCCAGCTGTCAAGCAATCCAGTATTTAGTGCAATGTTCTATCACGCGGAATAAGGGATACACGGATTATTTGCTGTTAATTTTTAATGACAAAATTGCTTATGTATGTATGTATATTTATATAAACACTTAGATAGTATGTGTGCGTATAAAACCCCCAGTTGGAAACCAATACCTGATACGCAAGCAGCAAGCAATCATTGCTGATTAAAGTACTGTAATCGGTACGTTATTGTGCTCCTTCCAATAATTATATATTTTTTTTCAAATATCTAGGTATGTTAACTTAAAATAAAATTCTTTTTTGGATCACGTCGAAGTCCGAAAATTTATCAACTTCAAAATAAATTTTTATCTAAAAACCTAACTAAGTACAATTTTCATGGAAAAACAGAAAAATTACTTAATTTAAAATTAAATTTTTATTCAAAAAAAACAACAGTATTAGCCAAAAAATGCCCCCAAAAACTGAGTAAAACAGAAAAACGTATGCACTTACATATGTAGTATCCGGTACTTAACAATAAAAAAAAATTAAAAACGAATGGTTTTATTACCTAATACTTACCCAAATTGCCAATTAGTTTTTTAAGAGGAGATCATCGCCGGCCTGCGTGTAATACATATACGCCATATTATACATACATATGCGCCATATTAAAATATCCCCCGTAGGTCCGCCACTGACTGACACGTAGTTTAACCCCAAAAACCGCCCACAGGATCCGCCACTAACTTATTTTTTTTCCAAGATCGGCTACTATACTTGGGTCACTACATTTCGCGCCATTGGAAAATTGAACTCCGTGCTTCTACAGTTTTTAGTTACCTACTTCCTAAGAGAGCTAATTAGTAGTGAATCAGAGTCAGTTATAATGTTAGGCTTATACGTACATAGACCTGGAATTTCATCGTTGAGCCATTTTCCAACTGGGCGCATGATCGTTACCTAACTGTATGCATACTAATACTATATGTGCTCCCAAGCATATCACGCAGCTATCATAGGCATGTTCACGCTTAATACCGTTAATATTTGGACTATTATATGCATTATTATCGCTTAACGGGGAGGTTTCTTCCATACTGGCGAGGATTTCCGCATCTACACAAAATGCCATTGGATTAATGTCAATCGCAGATCAACGCTTGTTTACCGCTAAATTTACGCCTCACCTCATGGCAAACACACAATAATCGGTAGGCATTCATTTTGATTCTCGGTAACACGTTTACGAATACAGACGTTTGATCAAATGAGTGATATGCCCATATAAATGCGTACATATGTACATGTACAAATATTTATAAGCACCCTTGCATACATACACGTAGATATAAATATGCTTTCCCGCGCAATTGAGTACATTTACGTATGAATAGTGTATGCTAGTATGTATGTATGTACATAAATATGTACATATGTATGTGCATGTATGTATGTAGGTATTATTTAAGGTCGTGCCTGCTGCAGATTACCTTGATCCGTTGATCCCTGTACATTATACACACAATTATTTTTTAACAATGCAAGATTTATATGTACATATGTATGTATGTACAAAGGTACGCATGTTTCTACAATGCAGGCGTGCTTACATCTCTAATCCACCTAATATTTTTGTTTCCTCTAACGTCGAATCAGAAATTTCCCCGCAGAACTACACAATTATGTACATATGTACGTGCATACATATCGCGCATTTAATAATATAACGAAGTATTTCAAAATTTCAATTTTGTGGGAAAATGCAATCAAAGTTTTATCAATTCATACAGCTGGTATATAAAAATACAGATGGAAAGACACATATCTTCGCAATATTTGGGAAGTTTGATTATCTGTTAGACTGAACATATTATACTTATCAAGCTTATTAATTGCGTACTGGAATCTCCAAAAACGTAAATTTGGAGTTACATCTCTATATTATTAAACGAGCGATATGTACATATGTACATATGTTTAAAAATGGTGGTAGCTATGCTGTATGTAGATATGCACAACTAGATAAATGCATGTCCATATATGTATATGTGTTAGGGTGTTCGCTGATTCGCCTTTTTTTGAGTTATTCGAAAAATGGCAATTTAAAAAAACAAGCTCCGCGTTTTCAAAATAAGAAAAAACAGATAAATAGTATCGCTTAGGGCCCGTTGTTCAATGTCTCGTTATCACTACCTTCAAGTTAAACATCGTTTTCAACGTTTTCGACATCATTTACATATATAACATGTGATCGATAAAGCAGTCGCCGCATTGAAGAGGAGTTTCTACCTCCGATTGAGGTTAATCAGACATTGAACAACCGATCCTTTGTGTTTAAACCCGTCAGATTTGGTCTTTTCTCGAGAATACCGAATAAAATATGGTGTCAAATGAAAGCGATTGGCCTCTCGAAAAGCACGAATGTCTTATTTTTTGAATAGGATTGCCACGTGTTAAGAAAATTACTATATTCAATCCTAATAAGCCTAGGCATCAGTTGTGCACCGTCACTGTCAAATGAAAACACTTAGCCTCTAGATCTGTAATAATGTATTATTTTTCTGAGTATGGTTGCCACTTGTTGAGTAGTAGTATAAAGCAAAGCCAAAATTTTTTGACCGCGCTAATCTCGAAATCTACTGAACGGATTTGGATGAGATCTTGTTTTATTTTGTATCGATAGGGGTGTTATCTTTAGAGCTTAGCATTTCTATAGGGTTGCCACCTGTCTAAAAACTTATAAGATCCTTCGATATATCGATAGGGGTATGTGGCAGCATTGCACATTTAAAGAAAATTATTAAAATTAATTAAATTCGCAACGATCCGGCAGCATTAAAACCACCAGCGAGTTTATTCGCAATTCCTTTTTTGTTCTCTTCTTCGTTGGACCTTCGCGCTGATCAGACGTCAGAATTAATCACGTTGTAAGTGCAGATACACTAAATTGGTGACCCCATTCCATTTCATACACTAAAGGTATTATCTTTAGAGCTTAGCATTTCTATAGGGTTGCCACATGTCTAAAAACTTATAAGATCCTTGCGTTGAATTACAAAAAGTGAGATGTCAAATGAAAGCGCTTCCCCTCTACATAGATCAGGATTTGCCAAAGTGGGTGTGGTGGCACCCTGGGGTGCCGCGAGCGTATGCCTGGGGTGCCGCTAGTGACTAGAGTATACTAGTGGTGCGGGCAAATTCTTTAGCCTTTCCATACACAACGTTTGATCAAACTTCAACATGGCGGCCAGAAAATCAAAAATTTTGATTTTTATTAAAATTACCTTCAGCGGCTCGTCAAACCTCATAAACAACACAATTAGCTTGCAGCAAAGGTGCATGGTCAGATGAACGCATGCCCGACGACTGGAATTTAAGTGTACTCTGCCCAATCCACAAGAAAGGCGACCCCGCCATACGCGCCAACTA